TGGTGGAAGGAGATGGGAGCGGCACATTAAAGGAACCTTTGGTTGATGCACTTAAGAACTTGAGGCAAAAGGACACTGCCCAACGTGCTCTGGGGTGGGTGTTTTGCCCATGGTTTTATGTTTATGAATCCTGATTGCGGCGTTTTCCCTAATTAATGCCGGGTGACTTCCCTCCTTTTATGAAAAGTTTCTTTTCTACGCTCAGACTCTGTGCTTGCGAGGAGGGAAGTGTTGCTTCTTGGAGGTGGCCGGGGTGGTGTGCAATTGTCCTAGGTTATTGGGGGTGGGAGCTCGAGCCGGTTGTGTGTTGGATCGATGGAAAGGAACCCCTAGGTATAGAACCCAGTCGTGGTTGCTGCTGACTCCACTTGGCAGAAGGGTTACAGTAAGAAATATTCTTAGAAATTGAGACTGGCTCTCACGCAATTGTACCCCTCACTCACAAAGAGTGGTTCTCTGTCCACCTCTATTGGCTAGGCAGGATATAGAAGTTTTGAGTCCACTATAGCCTTGGAGGAAATGGAGATTGCCTGCTCACACTTTTTATTACGGTGACATTTATTACAGGTTAATAAAGGATTAACAGAGCATTTCAAGAAATGGTCACTCAATTGTTGGCTGGGAGTTCAAAAGCCTGACACTCTACTACATTTCTCCGTTTATCTTTCATAATGTGGTAATGTCGGAACACCGCATCTGATCAATTCCAACATATATGGGAATGTTCTAGACGTCAGTGGTCACAATCCGATTGATTCTGGGGGAACAAAAACAGAAAACAAGAAGGGGAAAAGTAGAGGGCACGGGGAGCCCCTTCCATCTGATTCGCCTAGCCACAGCTTCAAGCACCTCTGTAAATGTCTGTAGATCAAACAACAGGTTGATTGCACCCCCTAACACCTTCCAGCATAACAACATCCCTGCTCCTCCTCCCAACAGAGTTTAACATGTTGCTACCCCGAATGACTCATCTCCCGGACAGAACGAAAACTAACCAGGAAAGGGGGGGAAGTTACAGGGAGTCGCTGAAATAGAGGGGAAAGGAGGGTGGACTGGAGGGATGCAAGAGGTCTCTGGTATGTGCAATAAATTCAGCCTACAGAAGCAAAGAAGTATGCGACCCCCTCCTCCGCATTTAGACAGGTCGACAGATCAATAGATTGCTTATAACCATCGATACTGACTCCTACGGACATGCTTATAACCTTCAACTGATGCACCTATAGCACATACTAATCACGTCTGTAACATGCTTCTAACAGCTATTAATTGTTTATTAAAACTTTTATAAATAAAACTTGACTATCAAATGCAGCCTCCTTTTCTCCTTTAGATCAGGCTGTACCAATTCATGCTTTTAGCTCCAGAAGTCTCAAGTTCGGTTCCGGCAGGTTTTCTGAGCAGCAATGGCGGACATGGAGATTGGAATTTTTAACACTTTGTAGGGAATTTGACCATCTGTGAGGACTGAACCCCCTGACCTCTATCCAAAAGCATAAGCACCTTCTGCTTGGGCTAAAGGGCCACATCCATTAGCCAGGCCTAGCTAGCAGTGAAGTTACTAGACCTGGTTGGAAAAAGGGAATTTCTTTACTAGATTTTAAGGCTAGAAGGGACCATTTGATCATCTAGTTTGATCTCCTGCTTTATATAGGCCATAGAATTCCACACAACTACCCCTGTATTGAGTTCTCAGAGGAATTTTCAGGGGCATATATCCTTTGGGAAGTTTTCCCAGTGGGAAATTCCAGTTTTCCCATGGGACTATTAGAAAAAGAGAGGGAGAGTAAGAGAATCCTATTTTCTCACATTTTCTGTTTCCCAACTTTTTCCAGATGGAATTCAAGTTGGAAAGTAGATTCCCACTAGCTTTCCCCCGCTTGGGGATTTCCCAGGGGGAAATGCCCAGTTTCCCAGAGGAACCCTATTTTGTTTGTTTTGATGAAACGAGATTTTCCATTTGTGACGCTGTATGGAATATGGGGGACACTTTATATGATAGTGTTGATACCAATATTATAAAATTGCAAGGAATCTGACCAGATATGCCGTGTGAGGTATCTGCGAAAATGTTATACTTTGCCAAGTATGATAATCTTCTTTAGATGTTTGTATCACTTTTGCATTGTGAGTTATAGATGTGTAAGTATATCTTTATTTCCAACTTGTGCTGTGTTTCTGGCTGACACCCCCAGACTGATTGGCATCAGCACTGCCTGTTCGATGGCTATCCAGGGTCATCAGCTGTACAATGAACCCATTGAAAGAAACCAGGGACTACACTGTATGAGTCAGCAAGACATGTAGAAGCATGCCTTTGGAAGGGACCTCTATGGCTTTTCCATGGCATGTGCTGTGAAGCTTGTGTTTGGGACACAGGAAGTACAAGCCACATGGCAAAAGAATATAAAAGGAAGTGCATCATCTCCATTTTGTCTTCATTCCTGCTTCTTACCTCTGGAGTAACTTTTCTACAAACTGAAGCCCTGAACAAAGGACTGAATGACCCATCCAAGCTGTGGATGTGTTCCAGAGGGACTCTCAAGCCAGCAAACTTACCAATACTGCTAAGAATCTGGTATATGGACTTTGAAGTCTCTGTATGTATCTGATTGCTTTACCATTTAACAACTCTCCTCTTGTTCTTTCTTTTTCCTTATAATAAACCTTTAGTTTTAGACGCTAAACGATTGGCTGGCAGCATGGTATTTTGGATAAGATCCAAACTAATACTGACCTGGCAATGTGACTGACCCTTTGGGGTCAGAAGAACATTTTCTATAGTGAGCAGAGTTTCAAATAACTGGATCTAGGTGCTGATTGGGAGCCAGAGAACTGGAATGCAATGAAGGGGGCTGTGTGAGTTCTTTTTCTCAACAACCAATGTGGGGGATCAGGAGCAGAGTTTGTGACTGGTTGGGGAGTCTAACTTCATTGTTAATCACCAGTTTTGGGAGAATCTGTTCTCCTTTTGCAGCCTGCCCTGATCTTGGCATTTTCAGTGAGGGCTGCCCCAGGCACCCCAGGTCCCACCATTAACGAAATATTTTCTGCTCAGAAAATGCCAACCAGTGACTAGCTGTCAACACAATTTCAAGCATGACAAAGGTCTCTACATTCATGGCACAATAATGTATTCTAAGGGTACTTATCGGGCCCCCCTTCGCCTAGTATCCAAAGACCTCGCAATCTTTAGTGCACTGTGTAGGATGGGTGCTCCTATCCCCATTGTACAGATTGGGAACTGAGGCACAAGGGGCTAGATTTTCAAAGGTGTTTCAGTGCCTAAAGATGCAGGAAAAACAACGAGGAGTCCTTGTGGCACTGGTGAAGTGGGTTCTAGCCCGCAAAAGCTTATGCCCAAATAAATTTGTTAGTCTCTAAGGTGCCACAAGGACTCCTTGTTCTTTTTGCTGATACAGACTAACACGGCTACCCCTCTGAAACCTGTAAAGATGCAGGGAGGCATTCAACGGGATGTTCAAAGGCACCACACCTGCATAAGGGACTTAACTCCCATTGACTTCAATCTTCAGGCACTTTGAAAAATGTAGCCTTAAGGACGCGTTTCTATTAAAGCTGGAGCTGCAATTTCCAGCGTGGGTAGATGTACATGTGCTCCCTTTGATCGAGCTAGCATGCTAAAAACAGTGGGGTAGCTCAGGGGCACCGGAATGCAGGGGAACCAGGGGGCCATGGCCCTATCACTTTTTACTGGCCATAAGGGTGAATGACGGGGGCGGGGGAAAGAGGGCAGAGAGGAGTGAGCAGGGGGCGGGGTCATGGAGGGAAGAGGTGAGGTGGGGCGGAGTCTCAGGGGAAGGGGCGGCATGAGGGTGGGGCCGTGGTTCAAGCGCCAATGCCCCCCCCTTTAGGAACCTTCCGCCACTCCTAGTGTAGCTGCCATGGGATGGGGGGGAGGGGGGCAGGACTGGCTAGCCACCTGAGTACATAGCTAGGGTCTCGGATGGGACTGTACTCCAGCTGCTAGCTCATGCTGAGGCAGCATCGCTGTTATTTTGAGCACACTAGCTTGATCAAAGCGAGGGTGTGTACAACTACCCAAACTGGGAATTACAATGACAGTGTGGATGGTCCCTAAGTACCTTGCTCAAGGTCACACAGGGAGAATCCAGATCTCCCCCAGTGCCCCGTTCCTCCCCTCTTTGAGCCATAGGCGCCAACTCTGTGGGTGCTCTAGGGCTGGAGCACCCACAGGAAAAAAAGTGATGGGAGCTCCCCCCTATCAGTGCCTCCCCCTCCCTCCCAGCATCTCCAGCCCGCCGTGGATCAGCTGTTCCCCGGCATGCAGGAGGCACTGGGGGGACGGGGAGGAGCGAGGGCAAGGTGTGCTCAGGGGAGGGGGCTGGAACAGGTACGGTGGGGATGGGGCCTTGGGGTAAGGAGTGGAGTGGGGGCGGGGCCTGGGGCGGAGCAGGGGCGAGCACCCCCCGGCACATTAGAAAGTCGGCGCCTATGATTTCAGCTACCTGAGGGCAAGGATGGTCCAATGGTAAAGGCTCTGGCTTAGGACATGGGCGAGTCAGTTTCACCTCCCTGCTGGGCCACAGGTTTCCTGTTTGACCTCGAGTTAGCCACCTAGCTTCTCTGCGTCTCAGTCCCCCATCTGTAAAACGGGGGATAATAGTGCTTCCCTACATCTCAGGGGTGCTGTGAGGATATATAGATTAGAAATTGGGAAGTGCTTTGAGCTCTACAGGTGAAAAGTGATTTATAGGAAGGCAACAGTATTATTTGTCACAGTGGAAGTAATTGGCTTGATCTGGAGCAAGGAAGATTTAGACCAGATATGTGGAAAAACTTTCTAACACTTAAGGGGAGGTCGGCTCTGGAACCGGCGACCTACGGAGATTGAGGGACCCTCACCAACTGGAGGTTTTTAAGACCAGGTTGGACAAACACCTGTCAGGGATGGGCTAGGTGTATTTGGTCCTGCCTCCGCTGGTGGGGCTGGACTGGATGTCCTCTCGAGGCCCAGTCCAGCCTGACATTTCTAGGACCACACCAGTGCCAGGTGGCTACGCCGTGTGGGTCCCTTGGTGGGCAAGGAGGTGAGAACTGGTGCTGAAGCTTTTCCCACAGTCGGTGCATTTGTAAGGCTTCTCCGGCAGATGCGATCGTTGATGGACCACCAGGTGGGAGCTCTGGCTGAAGCTTCTCCCGCACTGGGGGCACAGGTAGGGTCTCTCTCCCGTGTGGGTCCGCCAGTGCTTAACGAGGTCCGAGCGCCGGGTGAAGCTCCTCTGGCAGTCGGAGCATTGGTGGGGCCTGCCCTCCGCGTGGGCCCTTTGATGGGCTGCCAGGGCCGGGCGGGAACCGAAGCCAACCCCGCAGTTGGGACAGAGGTAGGATTTCTCCTCCGTGTGGGTCCTCTGGTGGGTGATGAGGTTGGAGCGCTGACTGAAGCCCCGCCCGCAGTCGGGGCAGTGGTAGGGCCGCTCCCCGGTGTGTGTCCTCTGGTGGGCGTGAAGATTGGAGCTCTGGGCAAAGCCCTTCCCGCAGTGGGAGCATTTGTAGGGTTTCTCTCCCGTGTGGATCCTCTGGTGTTTGATCAGCACCGAGCTGTCCCGGAAGCTGCGCCCGCAGTCGGGGCACCGGTAGGATTTTTCCCCGGTGTGGGTCCGGCGGTGTACGATCAGCGTCGAGCTGGTGTTGAAATTCCGCTTGCAGATGGCGCAGGTGTAGGGGCGCTCCCCCGTGTGGGTCCGCTGGTGTTTGATCAGGTTGGAGCTCTGGCTGAAGCTCTTCCCGCATTCGGAGCACCTGAAGGGCTTTGCCGCTGGACGGTGCGGAGGGGCCGAGCTCGGATCAGAGCGCGCCTTGCGGCCCCTTGGCTCTGCCTGGCGGGCAGCCGGCACTGGGCTCTGCTCCGTACCAGTGCATGGAAAGGATTCCCCCTCTGAGTGGGCTCTCTGACGTGCACTGACGTTGGAGCTGGTGGGTTGGGGACTTTGCTCAGTGCTAATGCATGGAGAGAACTCTTCCTCCAGCGGGGTTTTGGGATGTGTATTGGGGGGTGATGGGCTCGCCTTCAATCTTTTCCCCAGATCAGCTTCCTCCTCTGGCTCAGCTCCCTCTCGTGCATTGTGATTGGAGCCACTCAACCTTTGCACGGCGTTAGCACGTGGACGAGACTTCTCCTCTGGGTGCGTTCGCCGATGCACATTGAGCTTGGAGCTGGCGTCGAACCTTTCCCCGCAGTCGGGGCATTGATGGGGCTTCCCCACTAGATGGGATTCCCCATCGCTGGTCTCTGCCGAGCTCTGGCCGACGCTTCCCCGGCTCTGGGTATCTTTACCGGGATCGTGTTCCTGGAGGACTGTCGGCGTGGTGCTCACGCTGCTTTTATAGGGCTTTGCCTCCTCATGGAGTCTCTTATGGGTAATGAGGTGGGAGCTCTGGCTGAAGCTTTTCCCACAGCTGGCACACCTAAAGGGTCTCTCCCCTGTGTGGACCCGGCGGTGCTTATTGAGGTCCGAGCGCCGGGTGAAGCCCCGCTGGCAATCGGGACATTCGTAGGGTTTCTCTCCCGTGTGGGTCCTCTGATGGGTGATCAGGGCGGAGCGGCTGGGGAAGCTTTTCTCGCAGTCAGGACATTTATAAGGCCTGTCACCCGCGTGGCTCCTCCGATGGGTCAGGAGCTGGGCGTTGGTGCTGAAGCCTTCTCCGCAGTCAGAGCATAGGTGGGATTTCTCCTCAAGGTGGGTCCTCTGGTGGGAGATCAGGTTGGATTGCTGGCTGAAGCTCCGCCCGCACTCGGGGCATTTGTAGGGTCGCTCCCCGGTGTGGACCCGCTGGTGGGCGCTGAGGTTGGAGCTGGTGCTGAAGTGTTTCCCGCAGTCGGCGCAGTGGTAGGGCCGCTCCCCAGTGTGGACCCGCTGGTGGGCGTGCAGGTTGGAGCTCTGGCTGAAGCCTTTCCCACAGTGGGAGCACTTGTAGGGCTTCTCACCCGTGTGGGTCCGCCAGTGCTTGATCAGCACCGAGCCCTCGCTGAAGCTCCGCCCGCAGTCGGGGCAGCGGTAGGATTTCTCCCCGGTGTGGGTCCGGCGGTGCACGATGAGGGCTGAGCTAGTGTTGAAGCTTTTCCCGCAGCTGGTGCATTTATAGGGTCTCTCGCCCGTGTGCAGCCTCTGGTGAGTCAGGAGGTTGGAGCTCTGAGAGAAGCTCCTGCCGCACACGCTGCATTTATAGGGTTTCTCGGCGGCGACCGCGTTGCTGTCTTGGGGTCCCTTGAGAGCTCGCTGATGGCAGGCAGGTTTATCCTCTTGCTTTGCTGGGTGCTGCCTCCCTGACCTGCGCCGACTCTCCCCAGTTTTCCCCCCCTGAGAAGCAATCCCTTTGGATCTTCCCGAGAACGCCCTGCGTGGTTCCGCATGCTCCGGACCTCCCTGCCAGGGATTCGTCTCTTCGTTCTCATGCTCGAGCCCGTCAGCTGCTGGGATAAAAAGAGAGAATCTGAAGGCGAGTCGTTCTCTGGGCTAGGAAGAAAGGAAACCTCAGCACCGGGGGTTGGGGAAACTCGATAAGGTGCAGAAGCAGACGCCGAATCCCTAAAAACGCCCGGATCTCGGCATAGCCTCAAGCTATTGGACCCCTTACAGGAATTATGGAGCGGAATTAAGCGGCCTGTGCTATTCGGGTGGTCAGACTACATCTGCATTTCTCCACCCGTGGGTCGGGACCCAAAATTGGGTCTCCAGAACATAGGCGCCGACTCTGTGGGTGCTCCGGGGCTGGAGCACCTGCGGAAAAAAAAAGTGGGTGCTGGTGCAGCTGCAAAACAGCTGTTTGGAGGCTTGCGGGAGGGCGGAGAGCAGCCAGCGACGGGCAGGTGGGGACTCGGGGAGGGGGTGCAGCTGGGGCAGGAAGAGGCGGAAGAAGGGCAGGGCCTCAGGGGAGGGGGCAGAGCAAGGGCAGGAAGAGGTGGAGTGAGGGCGGGGCCTTGGCGTAAGGTGTGGAGTGGGGGTGGGGTCTCGGGAGGGGGGCAGAGAGGGGCAGGAAGAGGCGAGTGCGGGGCCTTCGGGGAAAGGGGTGGAGTGGGGGCAGGGCCTCAGGGCAAAGGGTGGAGCACCCCCAGGGAAAACTAGAAGTTGGCGCCTAGGCTCCAGAATGTTTCAAAGGGTCGCATGGCAGCTCCTGCGGCTCCTGTCCCACAGGGCTTGCTGGGCTCGCCTCCCCGCTCCAGGCACTGCAACCTCTCAGTGCCACTCAGGTTTGGCCCAGCTGTCATGGCGACGGGAGCCTGGGTCCTGAGTGAGTGCCCCTGCAACCCCATGAGCCAGGGCACAGCTCCACTCACACAGATTGGGTCCAGTCAGGGGCTGGGGCCAAACCTGAGCAGCGCTGCTACCCCAGAAGTCACAGTGCCCGGAGTGGAGAGCCAAGCCCAACCAGCCCCACAGCATGGGAGTTGCAGGAGCTGCCACTGTGGGGCGAGCGCCGGGCAGGACCGAACCCCCCCAGGGTGCAGGATCCAACTGAACCCACCCCCAAGCCTCCACCCCCAGACTATTTACTGGGTCGCGACAGGCCACAAACATTGACAAATGGCTCCTGAGCCCAAAAAGGTTGAGAACCACTGGGCTAGAGGATCAGAATGATCCTTCTGACCTTGAAATCTTTTTGGAAAGGGTTGCTTATTTCACACACTTTACACGCGTGTAAATGACAACACAAGGTCACAGTGCGAGGAAGGCTGATGGTCTTGAGGTTAAGGAAAGGGGCAGGGCCGCAGGACACCTGGTTTCATTCCCCAGCTCTGCTACAGACTTCCCTGTATGACCTTGGACAGTTCACTTAGGCTGGGATGTTTAAAGGCGCCTATGTGAAATAGACATCCAATTTTCATTGTATTTCAGGAATAACTTCTTGATTAATTTTAATAACTCCCTTAGGTAACCTTTGAAAATGCCAGCCTCAGTTCCCATCTGTTAAATGGGAATAATAGTCCTTCCCCCCCCCTTCCTATCATGTCTATTTAGACTATAAGGTCTTTGGGGCAGGGATTGAGTCTCACTGTGTGTTTGTAGTGCACCCAGATCTCAGCTGCTGCCTTTAGATCCTATGTAATACAAATAATGCAGAGTCTAAGGCTATAAGAAACCATTGTGATCATCTAGTCTGACCTCCTGGCCAGAGAACCCAGGCCAGGGAACTTCCCCAGAATAATTTCTGTTTGTACTAGAGCGTATCTTTTAGAAAAGCATCCAATCTTGATTTAAAAATTGTCAGAGACAGATAATCCACCGCGATTGTTGGCAAATTGCTCCAATGATTAATTAACCTCGCTATTACTAAGTAAATCAATAGCAGAAAGGTTCCAGGAAAAGGAAAACAATTAGGGTGACCACCTGTCCCAATTTTATAGGGACAGTCCCGATATTCAGTACTGTGTCTTATATAGGCGCCTATTACCCCCTCACCCTGTCCTGATTTTTCACACTTGCTATCTGGTCACCTCTAAGAACAATGCCAGCAAACTAGTCTTACCACAGAGATGCCAAATGTAAGGTACATTTAGGGGTTCATCATCATTATACCCAAAGTACTGGGTCGCCGGCTAGAGCTGGCAGAAAATTTTCCAATGGAACCGTTTTCTCACCAGGAAATATTTTGACAGAATTGAAATGTTCTGCGGGAATGTCCAGATTCTATTGAAACTTTCAACCGAAATGAGGCAGGTTTCTAGGGTCCTTGTTCCAAGGCAGCCTGCCCTGGAGCAGAGGAGCATATTTAGGAAACACCATTCTCACTGCGGAAACATTTCAATGTTTCTGAAGTAAAATATCGCAGGACTTCAGTTTCACGACAATTTTAACTGTTTTGGCTTTTTGTCCCAATTTTGGCCAAAACGTTTCCTGAACACTCAAAATTTCACAGAACCAAAATTCTGTTCTCTAGCCAGCTTTAGTGGTGTGGTCCTCAGGATGCTACAAAGTGGTTTGAAATAAAAGGAAGTATTTCTTCACACAACACACAGTCAACTTGTGGAACTCTTTGCCAGAGGATGTTGTGAAGGCTAAGATTATAACAGGGTTCAAAAAAGAAGTAGGTAAATTCATGGAGGATAGGTCCATCAAATGGCTATTAGCCAGGATGGGCAGGGATGGTGTCCCTAGCCTCTGTTTGCCAGAAGCTGGGAATGGGTGATAGGGATGGATCACTTGATGATTACCTGTTCTGTTCATTCCCTCTGAAGCACCTGGCATTGGCCACTGTCGGAAGGCAGGATACTGAGCTAGATGGACCTTTGGTCTGTCCCAGTATGGCCCTTCTTATGTCCTAAAATGAGTTTCACTCCTATCCACAAGCATAGTTCTGACCCTCAGAAGGTGCCAGAGAGTCTAAGGAGTCCACTAGGGACTTTGCTCCTGCACAGAATTTTAAGTGGAAGATGATCAGACACTACGGTGATGGGCGGCTGTAGAGAACCGATAGCTAAAGCTGAAACAGGAGAGGAGCTCTCACAATGCCAGCTGAGAAGCGTGAGCTGTGGGGGAAGGTCTACTTTCTAGGCTCTTCTGCTCCTTCCCATTCCCAGTTCTGGATTTGTATTAGGAGCCTGTAGAACCAACTCCTTAGCTGGTGCACATTGGCACTGCTCCACTAACGTCAATGGAGCTACCGGGCCAAGATTGTCCAAAGCAGCTGCTGAATTTTGGATGATTAACCTGACACACCATAAAGAAGCCCTGATTTTTCAGAGGATAAGTTCTCAGCACTTTTTGAAAATCCGGCCCCGTTAAGATGGACACTGAAAATCATTAAGTCACTTTGCAAAATCTTGGCTCAGCTAAGGAGCTGGGTGACTGTTGCAGTGATGCCAACATCTGGTTTTTATCTCCAGTCTCATGATGTTTAGTGTTTTCCTCAAAGCCCCAGTGCCCAGAGTCAGATGATTATGGAAGAATCTCAGCTTTAATTTTTTTTCTTTTAAAAAAAGTACATTTCTAGCCTCAAGGTTAAAGAGAAAAGCTTGAAAACTTGGTTCTTGAGTCTCAAAACCCAGAAGGCATATAATAAACTATAATAAAATAATAATTATTATTATTAATAATAAAATAATAATAATAATAATAATAATAATAATAATGTGTTTATTATTTAAAGTCTCATTAGTTGAAAGCAGTCTCATGATTTGGGGGGGCTGACTGGTTCTTGAATTATTTCAGCTGGCAAATACAGGGGTCCTGCAGTCCAGCACCAAACAGGGCACCGTGCTCTCTAAGCAGCTTCTTAGGGGTCAGGCTGCAAAATGCTCAACTGCTGTATTGACCTACATCAAGGTTCCTTGGCTGCCTTCCCTGAGCTGTCTGTTCATTGCACCTACCATCAATCCCCTTCCCAGCACTTACCTGGATTCATACCGAGAGGGCCCAGTGCCCAAGCACCCAGGGGTAATTGGGGAGCAGCCCCAGCCAACCAGAGATGCTTCTCTGATGTACCGGGGGTAGCAGAACCTGCATCCCAGTTGCCTTTTGTGTTTCCATCACAGATGCACTGTGGGAAATGCAGTCTCCACTGCAAGGCATAAAGACACGCACTCTTTGTTGCAGAGCAAACTCCGAAGGGCAGTCTGTGTTGCAGAGAACTATGGGAAGTGTAGTCTCCCTTGCCGTGAAACAGCGTTTTGCATCGCAAGGCATTGCGGGAGCTGTAGTCTCTGGGCCTGGGCCTGATCAGAAATGTAGTGTTTGTGGTGGAGCATTATGGGGAAAGCAGTGTGCATGGCAGAGCGTTATGGGAAGTGTAGTTTGCATTGCAGGGCAGTATGGGAAATGAATTTCTGGGAGGCATGAGGACTACTTGATGATTGTGATGTGCTGGAGAGGAGGCTGTGGAGGGGCAGGGAGGCATCCCAGCTTTAAGAAACAAAGTGAGCCCTGCAGGATAACAAAGGGAGGAATTCTTTGCCTGCCGTGAATTCACCATTAGTTAATTCATTTTAAACACCCAGTCCAAGGGCCTGGAAGAAATGTGTTAAGAGCAGGATGTGAACCCAACCTCCACCTGCAGACCACTAATACCCAGCTCAAGAAAGGCACACAGAGCCTTAAGCACGGTTCCTTTGATCACTTAGCTAGCCTGATGCCAAGGACATCTATCTCTATCTCTGGATTTCACGGAGCCTTGAGGAAATGTCACATTCCCAGCTAGGGCTGTGATGGAGGCTTGTTTTTCTCGGTAAGCTCATTGCAGGCTGAAGAAGTCTCTGAAGATGAAGGTTGTGATGTGGAGCAACTGCACTGCTGGGCTGGTCTCCTTGTATTTAAATGTAGACCACAAAAACATCCAATCCACCTGTGTCTCTCTCTCTCTCTCTGCCTGTCCTTATTTGTGTCTTTCACCATCTGACTTTGTTTCTCTTTGTGCATCTGTCTCGGTTTCCTTTATGTTGTTGTAGCCGCGTTGGGGATATCAGAGAGAGGAGGTGGGTGAGGTAATACCTTTGATTGGATCAACTTCTGTCGGCGAGAGAGAGAAGCTCTTGATCCACACAGGGCTCTTCTGCAGGGCTGGGCTCCCGCCTGGTAAGCTTGAAAGCTTGTCTCTCTCACCAACAGAACTTGGTCTATTAAAAGATATTACCTCACCCGCCTTGTCTCTCTCTTTCCTTTGTCATTCTCTTATAGTAAACTCGGTACAACACTTAGTTATATCAGGATAAAGGTGCTTATATCAACATAGCTTATTCCCTAAATTTACAGGACTAAACTATGCTAGTATAGGCATCTTTATACTGGTATAACAGCATCCATACTAAGGGGAGGTGTACTGCTTTAACTATACCAGTTTCAAACCAATATTGTTAAAGCAGCGCAAACACTGTGTAGACAGAAATTAAGAACTCACAAAGGAGATCATGATGCAGCATCACAGCTGCTGGGAGGATTTTCCCTAGGGGGGATTGAAAACGGCCCCAGCAGTGATTTATCCAGCACTGGAAAACAGAGAGCACTCATAAACGAGAATGCATATGTTAGAGTAATTCAGTGTCACTGTAACTATGTGGTTAGTGTAAGAACTTTATTTCCCCGTGCCCTTCCCCTTGAAGGTTTGGGTGCGTGATGAAGAGGTCAAAGAGACACAGCTAAAGCAGGAAGAGTTTGGGGCTCCTGGATGCTTGTGGATTGATAGTGGACATCATGGGCTCTTTTATGAGTCTTCCTTTCTTGCCTGTAAGGGCTTCTTTCTCTTCCCTTTGGCATAATTATTCTCATTTCATTTTGGTTTTTGTTGTTATCACATAGGAGCTGGTTGAAATATTTTGCCCGAACATTTGTCCAGTTAAAATACATGGTTTCAAAGCCAAAATATTTTGTGGCAACAGGTCAGTTTTGCTGAAATGTTCTGATTTCGTGTAAAAAAAAAAAATTTAAACAGAACATTGGGCTTCGGACTGATATTTTGACATGTCAACGTCGTGAAACAAATCATTTCATGTCCAGTGAAACAAAACATTTCCAGATCCAATGTTTTTAGAACTTTTCCTTCTATATAATGTTTCTACATTTTGAGGGTTTCCACCCTCCATTAAAAGCTAGCATCACATATCAGCATGTTTAGTGGGAAAGAAATTCCACTTACTGAACAGCATTGTTAAGTTTTATTTAACTTGGTGAAGGTGTAAAACGCTTTACCAAAAAGGGGGTCTTCCATGGTGCTCTGCTGACTTGCACCAACCGAGAATATGGCCATATGTGGATTAGTTTCCAGCTCTGCTAAATGGGTATGGGTAAAAGTGAGAGCAAAGACTGATCCCCCATGACACCAGTGGAGTTACTGTAGAACCTCAGGGTTATGAACACCATAGTTATGAACTGACCAGTCATTCACACACCTCATTTGGAACCGGAAGTACGCAATCAGGCAGCAGCAGACACAGTATGGTACAAATACAGGACAGTATTGTGTTATACGTTAACTACTAAAAAAATAAAGGGAAAGCAGCATTTTTCTTTTGCATAGTAGTTTCAAAGCTGCATTAAGTCAATGTTCAGTTGTAAACTTTGGAAAGAACCACCATAACGTTTTGTTCAGTTACGAACGTTTCGGAGTGACGAACAACCGCCATTGAGGTGTTTGTAACTCAGAGGTTCTGCTGTGTTCCTGATTTATATTAACATAAGAGGGGAACGGAGCTTCATATTTTCCTCTCAAGCTGTGCTGTAAATTGATGGGCCTTGTTTCATGGGAAAGCAAGAAAGGATAGAAATAATTCTAATACCTGTTACTTCCCCCTGCTGTCGGGGATAAAGCCTTACTGCTTTAATGCAAGGGGAAGGGGTGGGTGATTTGGGGTCTGAAGTTCTGACTTTTGAGCCTCATTAACAGCTGTGATGATATAGCTGCACACACAGGAGCTTCCCAGCCCCTCTCCACCTAGGTACGTGGGTGGCCCCCTGTCACCACAGTGTCTGGGCACTTGATGGACCCAGGCCTGAAAATTTGGCCTCAGCAGACATCAGGGGAAAGCAGGGTGTAGTGGGGCAACTGCCCCACTCCTGGAAAACAAGGGTTAAAAGCAGCCCTGGAGAGGGCTGTGGCTGTGAAAGGCTAGGCTAATTGAGGAAGCAGCCACAGCTGTGGCCAGCTTAATTGGGGCCCAGCTGGCCGATAAGAGGGCTGTGGGCCAGAAGCTGAAGGAGTCTCACTCTAGCCCGGGAGTGGGAAGGGGTAGCTGTCTGAGAGTGAGGTACCTGAAGTGGAGCAATGCTGGGGAAGGGCAAAGGGAGCTGGGGAGCTCCAGCCTGGTGAACCCCCAGGCTGCAAGCCTTGGTGAAGGCCTACAAAAGGTACTGGGGCTGCAGAGAGGCAGCTGATCCTACCCCCTTGCCAGTGATGAGCGGCCATTACAGACTGGTCTGCCCCAGTGAGTGGGGGCTAGATGATGACTGGCAGTAGCCACTGAGGCAAGGTGGGTTTAGTGGTTGGGGGTTTCCCTGGGAGGGGAGAGTCAGATTTTGGGGTACTGCTGGGGGCAGAAACCCACGGGTAAGGGGCACTGGGGTCCGGGAGGGACACGGTGCCAGCAGCAGGCAAGACACTGGTCTGCAGAGGGCACTCCATAGGCTGGAAAAAAGATAATTCCTAGACGACCAGCAGGAGGCGCCGCACCGGTGAGTCTCAACCTCGCTACACAGGGATTGAGGGCAGGCACTGTCTTTGTGTTCTGTTTGCACACTGTCTAGCACAAGCTGTGACTGAGGTCCCTAGCTACTATGACAATATGAATAAAGATTTATACAGTAAAAGCTTTGTTATCTGGCATGTTGGGGGAATGGAGGTGCCAGTTAGTCAAAAATTCCAATTAACTGTTATACCTACCAATGGAATACCAATTTTCAAAGAGTAAGAATACAATAAAATGAATACAGTATAAAATAGTAGACAGGTACTCAGCAATACTGGTACTCAGCAGTACTCAGTCGTAGTATTGCACGGCAGATTGGCTGGTTTCTTGAAGCACTTAGGTGTATACAGGGAAAGTTTTCTATATAGTAGGTTATCTTATGACACTGCATGTCACTATAGGCAGCGCATGGTGTACACCCAGATCACTAAAGCTATACTGAACATTATTTAGTCTTTCTTCGATGATTCAGAAGGCACTTCAGGATCTTGCAGTGCCTCCGGGTCAGCATTATCAATACCAATTATTGTACAGTAGATGTAGAAGGTGTAAGAGATTGGGCTGAATCTATACTGACCCTATAACACATCCTGGAAGCTGCTTTTTTTGAATAAATCCCTGATATTAGTTTGTTTACTTGTCTTCTGCCTCTTTTGCATAAAAGCAGAGTGCAGAATGTGCAATTGCATAACCTCCTGGGCCGTATACTAGTCCCGGTTACTAGACTGAAGATTTGTATTGGGAGAGATCAGAAATGCCAGTTAATAGAGCTTTCCGGTTCATAAAGTGCCGGATAACACAGCTTTTACTACACTATTAATGAATAATCTTTCTCACATAGCCTGCCTTGAACCCAGTAGGCATGGCAGGGAAAAGAGAGCACCACCCCAGTTTATAAAAGAGTTTATTTCTGTCGTTTTTACCCAGTGCAACAGACAAGAGCTCCTTTTGTGATATACTAAATCATACTTCAACCCCCACCCCGTCTCATTCTCTGCAGAAACGTACAGCCCTCTGGAATCATAGAGAACAGGGACCAACAGGCCGGTCAGAGTCATTCTCACATCTAGTCAGATCGCTCCCATCTCGAGGTTGCTTTGGCAGGCCAGAAATGCACTTCAGATGGGGGCTGTCCCGCCCTGCACCTCAGGGACACAGTTGGAGCTGCATGTCCTCCCCACAGAGATGGAACCAAGGGCAGACTCTCTCCCCGCCGAAGGAGGCCGGCGGGAAAGTGAAGATGGGTTTCTCGTTGTCCGCGTCGAAGAAAGACACCCGCCCCACTTCGTAGTCCAGCAAAACCCCAATCCTCCTGGGGTCCCAGCTCAGATAGAGGGTGGTCAGAGGGGAGGTCGGGGCCCAGTATTCACCCACGCACTGGCACAAAACCCAGATTCCCGCCTCATGGCTATGGCTGATCTCTTCCTTCCTCCTCACAGACTCTCTGGCCACCCCCATGGCCCAGTATCCCCCATCCCCCACATCTACCTCCCAGTAGTGTCTCCCCGAGGTGAATCCCTCACAGCCCAGCACACAGGGCTCAGCGTCAAATCTTTTGGGATTGTCAGGCACTCGCCGCCGCGTGTCTCCCCATCTCACGCTTCTCCGATCCTCAGACACCGTGAGTTCAGGATGAGCTGTATCTGGATCCAGAGTCACATTCACTGGGGGGGGAGAGAATCAGAGGGTTAGAGGCAGAGCTCAGCTTTAGTGGACATTGGGACCATTTCTCACACTCCCCAGCAGCCCCATCCTCGCTAGGACACTCCCCGATTTCCTGCCTCGCTGTCCTGGGTCCCAGGCAGCTGCCTCTGTGCTGGGGTTGAGCTGGGATTTCACTGCAGCCCCCTCTTGCCAGAATCTAGAAGGGTGCTGTTATGGCTGCCCCCTGCCTTCTCCCCCACTCCCATCATCAGGGACGAAGCAGGGGAGGATGCCCGGATGGAGGCATCAGCTTTAGTTGCAGTTTGGGAACCCACCTCACCCCCCCGGGCAAGGAAAGAGAAGGGGGCAGTACACAGACAAGAAATCTGGCAGTGGGAGGAGCCAGAGGCACCAGCTGGAGAGACCCCTCCCCACCCAGCCATGGGGAGAGGGTAAACCCCCACCACATCCAGCCGATCCCCGGCGACATGCCTGGCTCCCACACAGCAGCGCCCTCTGCTTACAGGGCTCCACAAGAGTCACCCCAACCGCCTCTGCCTTATTTTTAACGGGGGAGCTGCTATTTCTCTTCATTCACAACTATTTCTTAAACCCGCCCCCCATTCCCCCCACCGACAATGCAAACAGATCTTCTGCCACCACATACACATATTCTGCAATATGGACAATATGAACCTGTTCCTAGAGCAAGCTATTCCTGGGCCTTAGAGAGGCAGCACCTGGGGACACAGGCGCCAACTTTATCATATCCCAGGGGGTGCTCGACCCCTGCTCCGCCCCAGGCCCCGCCCCCACTCCACTCCTTCCCCCAAGGCCCCACCCCTTCCCACTCCATTCCACCCCCTCCCGCAAGTGCCCCTGCCCTCGCTCCTCACCCCCCCCCCCAGCGCCTCCTGCACGCTGCTGAACAGCTGATTGCGGTGGGCGGGAGGCACTGGGGGAAGGGGGAGGAGCTGATTGGCAGGGCCCACTGGTAGGCGGGAGGCACTGGTGGGGAGGGGGAGGAGCTGATTGTGGGGGCGCTGCTGGTGGGTGCTGAGCACGCACTATTTTTTCCCTGTAGCCCTGGAGCACCCACGGAGTCGGCACCTATGCCTGGGGAGATTCCCCCCTCACCCCTAAGAACAGGGCACAGAGGCCTCCGAATCGGGGGAAAGGAGAGAGGGGGAGAACTGTGGTTTAATTACGGGAAAGATGCAGAGGTACCCAGAGGGAGAGGAAAAACCCTTGGGTTGGTCACTCTGTTTGAGGTGAATTGCACCTAGAGAAAATTTCTACGAAAGCCAGATTGAAATTAAACAGAATCAAGAACACAACATGGGCCCTCGGCGTCAACAATAGAGTTTAAGTCCTCCAAAAGACTTTACATCCCTCAATAATTAGCATAAGCAGGTTCTTGACCAAGGAATCACATTCATGTCATTCCTGCTAAGTCATAAGGATAATTCCCCAGAATCTTCACTTGATTCAGATATTGGACCAGCTGCCTGTCCTCTTTGGGTGTTTGGTTTTACCTTATCAGCTGATCAGGCAGAGCCCGCCCCCTCTCACATTCAGAGTTACAGCTCCATTTCCTGCCTCAGTACCTTTGGATTCCTTCAGCGTCTTCCTGACACTGTTCCCCTGAGAGAATTCACTGAGGAACTCCTCCAGCTCAAGAGGAATCTCCACCTGCTGCTGGGACTTCCCCTTCTTGCACCTAGAAAGACAGATTGCAGTTAACCGGTGGAACTCTTTGCCAGAGGATGTTGTGAAGGCCAAGACTATAACAGGGTTCAAAAAAGAACTAGATAAATTCATGGAGGATAGGTCCATCAATGGCTAGTAGCCAGGATGGGCAGGGACGGTGCCCCTAGCCTCTGTTTGCCAGAAGCTGGGAATGGATCACTTGATGATTACCTGTTCTGTTCATTCCCTCTGAAGCACCTGGCACTGGCCACTGTCGGAAGACAGATACTAGGCTAGATGAACCTTTGGTCTGACCCAGTATGGCCGTTCTTATGTTCTAATTCATTGTTTTATAACATATAATGTATCACATCACCTGTCAGTACGAATTTCGGATAGTGAAGACTGCTGGATTGAGGGGTCAGGTGACTGAATTGCTCTGTGGATCCCAGCCTCAGAACACTGTCAGTCAAGGCACCAGTTTCCCCCACAGGTCCAGTTAACATGCTTTAGTTGCGACGTGAAGAAAGACCAGCTCCAGGGAGGGGAAAGGAGTTATTTTCAGGTGAATAATCCAGCCTTTAGGATGATTAATCACAGGGCCTTAAATAAAGGGCACCAAGCCCAGGATTTTGTTCGGCCGAGGAAGGCTGGGATCTGAATTTTAATCCTCCCCCATGCATTTGGCTGGAACCCTTCCCAGCACGGTGAAGCCCGAGGGAGGAGTGAGAAGGCAACACATACCTGCTCAAGGTGCTTCTGACATCCTGGAGGGGAGGGGGGAAGAGAGAGGGAGAAAGAGAGAGAGATTCAGTCCCACAGTGCTAATAATGAAAACTGACACTACATAAATCTCTGTACCTGGTTACACTTTTTCATAGATTCCTAGGTCTGAAGGGACCATCGTGATCATCTTGTCTGACCTCCTGCACGTTGCAGGCCACAGACCCTCACCACCCACTCCTAATACACCCCTAACCTCTGGCTGAGGTACTGACGTCCTCAAATCATGGTTTAAAGACTCCAAGTTACAGAGAATCCACCACTGACACTAGTTTAAACCTGCAAGTGACCCATGCCCCATGCTGCAGAGGAAGGCAAAAAAACCCCAGGGTCTCTGCCAATCTGATACGGGGAAAAATTCCTTTCTGATCCCAAATCTGGCGATCAGTTAGACCGTGAGCATGTGGGCGAGACCCACCAGCCAGACACTTGGGAAAGAATTCGCTGTAGTAGCTCAGAGCCCTCCCAATCTACTGTCCCATCACCAGCCTATGTTAAATAGCATAGGGCCAGAACCGATCTTTGAGGGACCCCACTAGAAACATATGTGTTCAGTGACGATTCCCTGTCTACAATTACACTGAGACCTGTCAGTTAGCCAGCTTTAAGTCCATATCGTGTGTGCCAGGTTAATTTTATGTTGCTCTAGTTTTTTTAATCAAAAAGTGAAAATGAACAGTGTAACCTCAGGTGTATTTACTGCACCTTCACTAAATCTACCCCTTCTTGTCACTGTCCCTTTGAAGCACAAAGCAGTGAATGTAAACTAATAATGAATAAATACACTCTGGACCATGATTAAAGGGGGTAGGCCTTTAGCCACAGTGCAGACCTCTTGACGGGTTAGCACAGCGGTTCTCAAACTTTAGCAACCCGAGGACCCCCATTTTGATTTAAACATTTTCGTGGACCCCCAAGCCTCCCCATCCTCGCTCAGTCCCAGGCCCCACCCTACTCCACCCCTTCCCCCTTCCCCCAAGACCCCACCCCACCCCTCCTCTTCCCCACCTCTTTCCACCCCCTCCCCCGAGCACGCTGCATCCCCACTCCTCCCTCTCCCTCCCAGCAGGAAGTGCTGGGAGGGAGGGGGAGGAGTTGAGGGAAGGAGCGGGAGGAGTTGATCAGTGAGACCGCGGACCCCAGTTTGAGAAACACTGGGTTAGCACAACTGCCTTGAAGCATTGACCCAAGACCCTTTCTTGGCCCAAACAAAGCAGGAGAAGAAGGCCGGCCTTGTGATGAAGGCACAGGAATGGGGTTCAAGAGACCCAGAGTCAGTTCTTGACATCGTCAGAGACTTTGGCCCTGTGTCTTTAGGGAAATCACTTAGTCTCTCTGGCCTCAGTTCCTCATCCATGAAATGGGGATGATAGAACATACCTACTATAGACCCTGATGAGTAGATCTTCATTAATATTTGTGAGGTGCCCAGACATTGGACCAAAAGAGGTCTGATCACCAACTTCATAGAGTTTATTTATTTCGATTGGAAAGATCCATAATTATACGCCTCTCCCGCCACCCTGACAAATCACAGCACGAAAACGAACTACAATCAAGATTGATACAAAGCAATAGAAAACCCCATCTCCATTTCGCTGCAGAGATTGGAGTTCTCACCTGTGGAAATTCATTCGCTGCCTGCTGGCACTTCCGCTCCATCTCATTGATCTGCTCACTGAGCCGGGAAATCTCCTCAGAGAGTTTGGTGACATTTTCATTCTGTATCCTCACAATCGTCTTGTCCAGCTCTTGTAGCCGGACCAGCAGGAGTCGCTCTTTTTCCTCCAGCGTCTGGTGCAGTTGTTGAAATAGAGACACAATCTTCTGCCTCTCGGCTTGTGTCTGTTTCTGTAACAAACAGGGGAAAGGGAAGTTCAGGGACCCAGGGTGGATAAGAGTAATAATTAAAAAAACAAAACAAACCCAGATTTTATTTCAACTATTTGTTTTTTAATTTGGTGCTGCTAGAGCTTTACTTTCTTCCCATGTTGTCCAGTTAAATTGCTCAAGCGGAGGTTTGTTCAGTTTCCTAGTTGTTGAGCAAATTTCAGATTGTACAGAGATGTTTTCTTGGAAGAGGTTTTATAAGGAAAACGTTCGTCTGGGCTCAAAAAGGCAAGTCCAGGGTCTTATTAGCAGGGACATGAGGACAGTCAAGTGACATTTGATAAAGCAGAGGGGAGACTTTAGACATCAATACATCTAAAAATGCAGCACTTGAGATACTGAGAAATAAAAATGCTCTGCCTGCTACTCTCCCCAGGGTTCCTAGAGCCTCACACTTGGCCCTGGTGGCTCTGACTGGTGCAGCCTCATATCTGACCTGATCCGTCTGTCCCCGGATAAAAGGGGGCCTTCACATCTGAGTCCTTTCCAGTAGCAGGAAGGGCAGGACTCACAGTGACCTTGGCAGAGGCTTGGTGAGAGCGGGCAGGGGAGGGGGAGAAAATAATTCAGAAGTTCTGAGGAAAACTCTGATCTTCTGACACCCCCAGAGCCAGCCATGTGCAAATGGGAACACTGGGACCCTGACTGAGACAGGTCCCAGCAGGGTGCATAAGGGGCATGTGATGGAGGAGAAAAATGGGCCTCTCTCTTATGTGTGGGACTGGCCACACTTGCAGACCTCCCAGGACAGCTCCGGGCTAGTCGCCCTAGTGACAAGGGAAGAAGGAAGCAGGACCAGGGCCCTATGCCTGCACTGTCCAGTGGCCACAGCCCCTCTCCTGGGTCTGGCCCAGCCTCAATGCAGGGCAGGGAGTCACTGCCACAATCCAGCCCACGGAAAGGGACATACAAAGACACAGATCTGGCCACCGTGCCAGGGGCCTTCCACCCCCCTCACAGAGCAGGGTCCACAATTCACCACACCATGCCAGGCCCCCTTTCCCCACCCAGCAGAGTCCCCAATTCATCCCACCATACCAGGGGCCCCAATTCACCTCCTCATGCCAGGGACCCTTTCCCCACCCCACACAGAGCAGGACCCCCCAATTAGGGGAGCTATGTCTCTCTCCTCCCTCTGGCGTCCCCTGCAGACTAAGTACCCGCCCCATGGCTCCCTCTACCAGGGACAGCAATTATTCCTTTTGTAATTCAGGGTGTGAACAGTTACCCTCTATTGGGAAGATGAGCGGGGCTATTGTTATACTGCAATGTGTTAACAAGGGCCATCCACAGATGTGGGTGGCTCCCATTTTACCCTCTCTTTGAATGTCCCAGTTGTCCCCCAAATCTATAGGGCTCTGGCTGTTGAGACCTAGAGCATCCCCTGAAATTTTGGCATGGATCAGATGCAGTGTTCAGAAGTTACCACCTTACACACAGGCAGCCAAGCTCCCATCAACAATTACCTCCCCTGTTCACAGAGTAAAAAGCAACAGAGGGTCCTGTGGCACCTTTAAGACTCACAGAAGTATTGGGAGCATAAGCTTTCGTGGGTAAGAACCTCACTTCTTCAGATGCTTATGCTCCCAATACTTCTGTGAGTCTTAAAGGTGCCACAGGACCCTCTGTTGCTTTTTACAGATTCAGACTAACACGGCTACCCCTCTGATGTTCACAGAGTGAAACTCCCCCGGACACACAGCCCCCCAAATCCATGTCCCTGCTTGCGTAACAACAACAGGCACCTACCAGATGCTCCTGGCATCTCCCCTTTTCAGTCTCTTTAAATCCCAGCAGCTTTGCCCTCTCTTTCTTCAGGGTCTGCAGGCGGGTCTGGATTTGTTCCTGGTTTGAGTGGATTGAAGTATTTTAGTGTGTGAGGTTTTCTTTGCCTTGGGGGGTTTAGTCTACACAAAGTCCTGTGTCTGAAGGACTGTGTGACTCTTACTCTTTGTCCCCTGAAATAACAGTGCTATTAAAACAAATAAAAAGAGGCACGAACTCTCTAGCCCTAGCCAGAGCTTCCTTACCTTGTAATCCAAGCCAGCCTCCTCTATGGGAACCACCGTGTGAGCTCTGTGAGCCTGGGACTCTCTGCAAACCACACAGATGGGGGGTTGATCCTCTTCACCGAACAGTTTCAGAGCCTCCTGGTGTTTCTCACACCTTCCCAAGCCTTTGGCTGCCTGGAAACTCAGCCCTTTGGCTATTTCGATAACTCTCGCCAGCTCCCTGTTGGGCCTGAAGTTTCTTTTCCGGGCAGTTTTTCTGCACTGGGGGCAGGAGAAGTTTCTAACCGATCCCTCCCAGCACTGGCTGATGCAGGCTCGGCAGAAATTGTGTCCGCATTGTATCGACACCGGGTCCTGAAAGTACTCCAGACAGATGGAGCAAGCCAGCTCTCTTTGCAGGGTCTCTACCCCAGAGCTCTCTGTGGCCATGGCCAGG